CAATCCCTATTACATTACAGACTTGACCTACTTCATTAAGCTGTATTTTATAAAAAAACCAAAAGTTCGCCTAAACACGCTCACGAAAGTAGGCCAAAAGAGCCTCCCCATCCCTCCCTCTAACACTCGCCTTCCTATGGGTGCTATGGATATAGTTTTCGACATTTACGTGAGTGAAGCCCAGAGCATTTGACTCAATCACATGTTCTGTTAAAATTTGCATAATTTTATGCACACTAAATCTTGCTGAAGACATCACTTTAATCAAGTTCATGGTAGCTGTTGGGGTGCGCCTATGTGATCTCAAATGATGTACCTTTGATGGCGATGTAAACTTCTGGGAGTGCTCCTCAACAAAGTTCGTTACCTGCGTACCCTTAACATTGCTTTGCATCCTTCCCTAGTTATTGGTCTAGGATGAATTTTTCCTGTATACTTCAGATCACGTTTGCCTTCTTTTAAGCAAACATAATCTTTCATCCTCAAATTGTTGTCCTTGTCCTTCTTTGGCCACTCAAGATGAATGCTAAAGCATTTTCGTTGAGCATATGCATTGTAAAATTGATACACAGCATCTTCAGATTCAAAGTTCACTCCTACAAATAAGTCCTTTTGATACCCACTATTGTCTTGTTGATCACAAAACAGTGGGACCTCATTGTCCTCACCATCCCCAGTTGCTATGACATTATTATTACTCGCATCTATAAAATTGTCTTTATAGAACTCATCCTAGTCCATCTTAGAGGATGAATCAGGTGTACGAGTGCCTCAATGGGTATGTAAGCCTTAATAGGCTCCATATTAACAACAATGTCACCACTTAAGCACCCTTCTCCATGATGTCCATAACTTTTAATCAATAAAACCTAAATATAAGTAATTAACACAAATTCATTTCTATATCACATAGACACAAAATTTAAGTATAAGCAGGAATTTCAAAATAAATCTATACCTAGCCGAACAATAAATAAAGAATACTAACTAGAAATAGAGTTATAAATTGATAGCAAAACAACTAAAAAATTTAAAATTCACTACTACAAATCAAAATAAGAGATAGAAATAGATAGGTAGCGCTCGAAATTAAGTTTCTTAAGATATAGAACAAAAATCACTAAAAAAAAGTTTTTTTTGAGGAAAGCATAAAAGATTTTTTATTAGATTGCTGTTCCTCTAATCCCAAAAAATACAATGTCTGTCATTCTTCGAGGAAGAACTAGCTCTCTCTCTAAACTCCATAAGCAAAAATACACATCAAGGATAAAACTAGCTCTCTCTCCCTAGACTCCTACTTCTCACTAAGTACTCAATTAATAATAAATTAATCGTCCTGATATATAGTAAGCAACAACAGGTCACTCAATTAAAAAAAATGATCTTCTGAAGTCAATCAAAAAAATGATCTTCTGAACTCTTACCATTTACCACTTCATTTATCCAGGCTAAAATTAGGTCGTTTATAAAGCTGCAACTAGTACCATTGTTGGCAAGCTACTAAACCTTAAACCTCTATTCAAAACAACAAATTTAAAGCAGCAAAAGATTTTCTCTAAACACTGAGCCAACTCCTAATAATTTCTTCTATCCCCAGTAAAACAAGGAAAAATTACAATGACATCATAAAAAACCAGAAATTATCCTCT